AGTAAGACTGCTTCAAGGTCAATATCACTGGCATTTAACGGCATGAAGTGGAGTTTTATTCTTGTATCCTTTCTTTATAAAATTGTAATACATCATGAAAAGTTCACATTTTAGATATACACGTAGAAACGTGTAGGTAAACATGTTAAAATAAAATGTAAATGCACTTCCAAAAAATTCTTGCAGGTTGCTACTCATTTAAAAGAGTAGCTTGGAGATACACATGCTACGCAAGCCACTTCAGCAACCTACATTCTGCCCACTTGAATGCTTATGGCGCTTTAGGTCAAGGGTGTGTATAAAAGGCATTTTCCTTTTGTCTGAGTTTGGAAAGATTGGCCAGTTCTGTTCATTTCAGAAGTAATTTGAATGTTTCCCTTAAATGGAATAGTTCCAAGGGACTGATTCTAAACGCTGTAGTTTTATTTTCTTCTTTGCAAGGTTAGGATGCACAATAACGTCGCTCGGTCTTTCCATATCTTGTGAGTAATCGGGACCCAACCCAGCAGCCCGGCCGCTTCCTGTGGGCGCCCTCACTGGCCTGACCTTGCCTGCCCCTGCCCCCCTTCCTAAGGGCGGATTTCCCCTGTTCCAATGTTGTCACACTGCCTTTTTCCCAGGGCCTTGTCGGGCTTCCTCCCTGCCTCTGTTCCATGGAAGCAGAGTGGCTGCAGCTGTGAGCTCCAGGGACTCACCAGCCAAAGCTCCAATTCTGTGACCAGGCTGGTCCAGGCCTCTGTGGGCCAGGCTACTTCCAAAGACCCACTTCTCCCACAGTAAATATATGGCCATCCCAGGGCTTTCCTTTCTGGAGCAGAGAACTTAATGAAGCACTCTCTAGGACTGGAAAGGATTTTGAGGAATAATCCAGTATCATTATTGCCATCTGCAGAATGCCTTTCCTACACCATTGCTACACTAAAGGAATTATAGCTTCACTGGGAGGAAGGAGATATAGCAAACAAACAAACAAACAAACAAAACAAGCAGACAAGACTGGGTATAGTGGCTCATGCCTCTAATGCCAGCACTTTGGGAGGTCAAGGTGGCCAGGTCGTTTGAGCCCAGGAGTTCGAGACCAGTCTGGGCAACATCAGGAGACCTTGTCTCTACAAAAACTACAAAATTAGTGGGACATGGTGGTGCACGCCTGTAGTCCCAGCTACTCGGGGGGTGGCTGAGGCAGAAAGACTGCTTGAGCCCAGGAGGTCAAGGCTACAGTGAGATATGATCGTGCCACTGCACTCCAGCCTGGACTATAGAGTGGGACCCTCTCTCAATTTAAGAAAAAAAGTAAAATAAAACAAGCAGACAAACGTACATTGCAATGTAGGATGGCTTCCCCTGGGAGGCCTAGCCGGGAGTGGGCTCAGCAGCCCCAGGCAGGCATCGCCGCTGCCCTGTCTCCTCACTCTGTGATGCTGGTCCAGAGCCTCACCAAGCCTCAGTGTCCTCATCTTTAAAGTGGTTCTCGCCAACCGGGCTTGGTGACTCATGCCTGTAATCCCAGCACTTTGGGAGGCCGAGGAGGGTAGATCACTTGAGGTCAGGAGTTGGAGACCAGTCTGGCCAACATGCCCAAACTCCATCTCTAGTAAATATACAAAAATTAGCCAGGTGTGGTGGTGGGTGCCTGTAATCCCAGCTACTCAGGAGTCTGAGGCAGGAGAATCACTTGAACCCAGGAGGCAGAGGCTGCAGTGAGCCAAGATCCCGCTGCTGCACTCCAGCCTGGGTGATGGAGCGAGACGCCGTCTCAAAAAATAAATGAACAAATAAAAATTTAAAAACAGTAAAGTGGGTTTTGCCTTACCTACTAGGATAGTTGTTAGATGTGGGAGAAACCCCACAAGCAGCGCCCAAGGCACTCCACAGCCCAATAAATCTAAACTCATCTCTCCTTCCCCTTACCCGTTCAAGAGAACAACAGGAAGCTTTCCAGTGAGTGGAAGGACATTGTGTCAGCTTTTCACCAACCCCACTTCGCGAATCTGTCTGCTCGAACCAACCTCCCCAACCCCCAGCTTTTAAATGTTCCTCTTTCACAGTTTCAAACCTGTAGCTCAATACTACAGTAGCCATCGGCGTCACAGTATTGGCCTAATGGAAGTCTTCACTTGGTAAAGGTTTACTTTAGAGAACATTATGATTGGTCTTTGCTCTAATTCTTTAAGAAACTGATAGTTGTGGTTTCATACTATCATGTGTGAGCCACAAACCAATAAAATACATGATCTATTTGTAGAACAAAAATTAGCGGAATGTTGTAGTGCACACCTGTAGTCCCAGCTACTTCGGAGGCTGAGGCAAGAGGACCGCTTGAGCCCAGGAGGTCGAGACTGTAGTGAGCCATGATTGCACCACTGCACAGTAAGGCAAGAGTTCAGTGTATTCTTGCCTTAGTTTTTAAAGTTAGCTCCAAGTTTAATTTCAAATTATGATTTGTGTTTGATTGGGGTTGTCAATCGTGCAACCATTGACAAAGTGCCAACAGGTACTACCAAAATTGGTCTTTTCCCTTGTGATTTTAGTCTGGTTTTACTCAAGCCTGCTGCTGCTGTCTGCAGCCCCACTCCAGAAACTTCTGCATAGCATTGGGTTTTATTTTACATTAAAAGGAATCAGCATTGCATTGGAAGATTGATCATTTCTATCAATCCTCTTGAGATATTGGAGGTATAACTTCCATTCCTGGCTTCTTTCCTCACTTGGCTCCAGTCAAACACCACGAGTCACTCTTTTTAGCATCTTTTCTGGTTCATTTCGGAGAGTGGAAAGGATGTACTCTTGTAATAAGTTATTCCTACAAAAGAGCAGTTCCCCTATCTGCAGTGATCCTCAAGTAATCATTTATTGCCCAAAAACCGATTCCCTCTCAATCCCCTGCCATCGTGCTGTATGTTATACTGGGTTCCACTGCACCCTGGAAACCCTCTGTGCTTTAATATGTTATTCAACAGACTTTCCCCAGTTGTTTTATATAGCTGCCCCAGTAGACGCTTTGGTATTATATAGACTGTCTTATACATTTCATTTATAATTGTTGTTAGTATATATAAATCTTTTTTTTTTTTGTATTAGTACTTTGCACCTTGTGACCTTAACTTATATATTGCCTCTAGTGGCTCTAGTGGCTATTTTTGAATCCTTTGGTATTTTCTCTGTAGACTATTATGTCATCTGAGAATAAAGTTTTATTTTTTTTCTTTTCAGTGCTTATGTCTTTTAATTCTTTTTCCTAACTTGTTGCATTGGCTGTGATTTCCAGGATAATGTTAAATAGGAGTGGGACAAATCCTTGCTTTCTTCCCAGTACTGGGGAGAGGTAGTAAGTCTTTTCCATTAAGAAGAATTTGAGCTGTAGATTTGCCCAAATAGACTTAAAATTCCTTAGTAACCAGAAGTATTTTTTCTGCTTCTTGGGCTTCAAACATACCTCATGGGTCAGCTTTTAAATGTATAATAATATGCATTTAAATATTTTTTTTAAATATACCAATTTATAACAACTTTTAATTGTATGCTGTAGAGTCTTTATTTGATTTGATTTAAAATGTCTAGTTTTATCAGGACTAAGATAGCAAGCAGTCTCTTTTAGTGGAAAACATCATGCACTGAATTCACTGTTTAAAAACAGTGACAATCAAAACGTGCTTCCACCCTTCACCAGTGCAGACATACACTGATGACTGAGCAAGGACTCTTTCACAGGTAGATAGCAGCCTAATCAATAATCCCAGTGTGAGGCTGCCATGCTGACCACTCAGAACAGAACAAGCAAGCTAAGTTCATCCACTGAGGAATGAGTCAACAAAATCTGGTATATCCATGCAATGGAATATTATTCAGCCATTAAAAGGAATGAAGTACTGATACTTGCTACAACAGGGATAAGTCTCAAAAACGTAATGCTATTATAAGTAAAAGAACCCAGTCACAGAAGGCCACATATAGTGTGAGTCCATTTATATGAGATATTCAGAACAAGCCAATCCATAAAGACAGAAAGAAGATTGGTGTTGCCAGGGGCTGGGGAGAGGATGGGGCTGGGGAGAGGATAGAGCTTGGGAGCTAGTGAGCTAATAGTGGGTGTGGGGTTTCTTTTTGAATGATGAAAATGTTCTAATATTAGATTATATTGATGGTTTCAAGTTGGGTGAATATACAAAAAACCATTGAACTATACACTTTAAACAAGTGAACTTTAAGGTGTGAAAATTATATCTCGATAAAACTGTTTTTTTTTTAAAATAACATGAGAGCTAAATTAATGGGAGGCTGAGCATGGAGGCTCATGCCTGTAATCCCAGCACTCTGGGAGCCCGAGGTGAACAGATCACTTGAGGCCAGGAGTTCGAGCAGCCTGGCCAACATGGTGAAACCCCTTCTCTACTAAAAATATAAAAATTAGCCGGGTGTGGTGGCACATACCTGTAGTCCTGGCTACTCAGGAGCCTGAGGCAGGAGAATCGCTTGAACTGGGAGGTGAAGGCTGCAGTGAGCCAAGATCGCCCCATTGCACTCCAGCCTGGGCGACACAGCAAGACTCCGTCTCAAAAAGAAAAATTAATTAATTAATAGGAAAGGTCAGGCTAGATAATGATTAAGCTAGAAAGCTGGGGAAAGGGAGATGCCCCAGACTAGGTTGTAAAAGGCTCTTTTGAGGGGAGGATGGGCTAAAGGAACTACTTGAAGGGGAGGGAACCCTGTAGGCCACAGCAGAGGCAGCTGACTGATAGAGCATCTTGGGGGCTACACCATGCCATCAATTGACCATTAGAGGTTGTATTAAAGTTTGGGGTAGGACATAGTTAAAAGCTGATAATTGCAGCCAAAAGAAGTATCAACTAGATAAAGAGATCTCCAGGAGACCCTGAACAATGAAGCAAAAATGGGATAGTCGACTAGTGCTGTACAGAAGGAAATGGTTAGAATTAGCAGCCAACTCCTGTTAACCAGAAAACTAACTGTTTTTTTTTTTCTTCTTCTTTCTTTTTCAGACTATAGCCTTCACGTTCCCTTGGTGAGTACAAAACTTTTTAAAAATTATGTCTGTTGTACAGATAACTAGCTTAAGATAATATGTGGGATTTAATTATTAGAAGAGCATTGTCTTCTTGAGAAAGAAGGCCATATGGTCAGCGTGTTATATTTGAATTTTATGCCTTACCTTGCTTGAACAGGCTCATATCACACCTTTTTGTTACATCATTTGTGTGTGTGTGTGTGTGCGTGTGTGTGTGAAATTTGGCTCAGCTGCTTGATCTGCTGAAATGTATTGTTGAGGACACAGTTTCTACATCCTTTCCTTTCACTGACTTGTCGTTGCTTTTAGAAGGGTCTAGCTTTATCTCAATGGCACACATCCGACCACTGTTCAGGAGCGTGGGGGCACATAATTGCATTGATGGTAACTGCTTCTCAAATTGGTCTGCTCTAGAGAAAACTGCTGAAAAGGAGCTTCTCCGGATTGCACGCTCAGTAAAAGCAGTATCAGGGTGTCGCATAATGTTATGCCTTTTGGGTCCAGGCAATGGCAAAATTCCATGGCCTTAATGTCCTTAGAAAAAGAAAACTTTAAACAACGGAGCCCTTTTGCAGTCTACTTAATCAATTTAATGCTGTTAAGTTTCCTAAACAAATCGAAGGACGAAAATCTAAGAGCTTTCACAGTGTCTGCAGTGTGCGGGCGAGTGGCGTGTGGACTTTTGGGTGTGTCTACTTTCAGCGGGCACCATGATGCCAGCCACCGGGAAGCTGTATTTCCTAAATGTATTGCCTTGTTTGAAAGGCACTGACTCCGTTCTGGAATCATTTTCAGGTCAATGGATCAATTATTGTGCCCTGGTTGGCCCTCTTTTTTAGGCAGGGTGCCCTTTGTGGCACTGTTCCATCTGGGCATCAATGCTTGTGGTCATTCTTGGTGTGATCAAATGCATTTTGACTGTACAGATTGTTTCTTTCTTTCTTGGTAAGGAATGTTAAATAAAAGTAATGATTGATTAAGCTAGAGAAGAGGGATGCCTTCATTTGCCACCTACTAAGTTAATTTTGTTGTCCATGTTCTCCATTGCATCATTATGAGACGTTGTTGATTCTGAATGGGGAACTCTTCTTGGGTAAATGTCAGCGGTGGGATCAAAGAGAAGGATCGTTACTGGAATCATATTTACAGGATGGAGGATTAACTATATGAAATCTGCAATCCCTTATTGCCTCAGAATCCTATACAAGGGATGTTGGCTGGTCGATACTGGTTCGAATGCTTATTAAACGTGGCTTTTCTTAAAAGCATTGGAGCTGCGTGCTTTATCGAATGCAAGTGTGCCTACCATGCTAGAATGAAATATTTGAGTGTCAGACCCCACAGTTACAGCTCCTTTTAAAATATAGGGCTCAGATTATGATTTGTTACAAGTGTGTGACCTTTGCACCCCTTGTCTCTCCACTCAGTATTGGCCCCTCCGCACCCCATTTTGCCTTCTGCCACTTCCAAAATTTCGTATTTTTCCCGGCAAGTTGACCTGCTCCCCATCAATGAGTCAGCAGCTCCCGCAGCTGAGTGATCCTGTGACAGGTGCTTCCAGGGCTCCTCCACCTCCTGGCATTGTCTCAAACCCGGCAAGAGATTCAGAAGTGGGTGCCCTGCCCAAGGGTCACTGACTGTGTGTCCAGGAGCTGACTTCCTTTCCTCCCTGCATCCACCATGGGTAGTTGGCAGCCAGAGCAGCTTCAGGGGGCACCTCCCTTTTCCTGGTCTCATCCTTCCTTTGCCTCCATTTCTTTCTTTCTTTTCTTTTCTTTTCTTTTTTTTTTTTTTTTTTTTTTTGAGACAGAGTTTCACTCTTGTTACCCAGGCTGGAGTGCGATGGCATGATCTCGGCTCACTACAATCTCTGCTTCCCGAGTTCAAGCGATTCTCCTGCCTCAGCCTCCCAAGTAGCTGGAATTACAGGCAAGCACCACCACGTCCAGCTAATTTTGTGTTTTTAGTAGAGACAGGGTTTCTCCATGTTAGTCAGGCTGGTCTCAAACTCCCGACCTCAGATGATCCGCCCGCCTTAGCCTCCCAAAATGCTGGGATTACAGGCATGAGCCACGGCACCCGGCCCTGCCTCCATTTCAGTGGGAAGGTAAAGCTCTGCTTCAGGAAGATCCGGAGTTCGTAGATTAAGGGTACTTCTGATTCCAGAAATCTTTCTCTGGATACGAGGAAAGGGTTTCGAAGCCTGGGTCTCCTATCTGTGCTGCCTTGTCTGCTGCCTTCCTTTGGGACCTGCCTACTGGGCCACTGATATGGTTTGGCTCTATGTCCCCACCCAAATCTCATCTTGAATTGTACTCCCCTAATTCCCATGTGTTGTGGGAGGGACCTGGTGGGAGATAATTGAATCATGGGGGCAGTTTCCCCCATACTGTTCTCCTGGTAGTAAATAAGTCTCCCAAGATCTGATGGTTTTTTATGGGGTTTCCACTTTCGCTTCTTCCTCATTCTCTTCTCTTGTCTGCGCCATGTGAGATGTACCTTTCACCTTCAGCCATGATTGTGAGGCCTCCCCAGCCATGTGGAACTGTGAGTCCAATAGGCCTCTTTCTTTTGAAAATTGCCCAGTCTTGGGTGTGTCTTTATCAGCGTCATGAAAACGGACTATTACAGCCGCCAAGGTAGAATATCAGACTGATCTATTAGCCCGTTGCATTTTCACTGCTAAGCATTTGAGACTTGTATGGAACATCAGGATATCTATTAATGGAAGGGAACTTATTTCTCACTTGTGGGATTCAGAGAAGTGCTTCTGAGTCAGTTAGAACTAAAAGGATAGTCCACCTTGGGCAGGGTGGATAAGCCCTCTAAGGCTGGAGATGGTGCCACAGCCACCACCCACACTGGCCAGCTGACTGCAGAGGAGCCTAGTCACACGTGCTGGATGAACACATCAGCCTGTGCGAGCCTTCATTTCTCTCATCTATCCATCACTTCCTAGGATGTGATGTGACATTTAAGTGAGATGACCCAAGGTAGGCGTTTAATAAAAGCTAGCTATGGACTGGGCGCGGTGGCTTACGCCTGTAATCCCAACACTTTGGGAGGCCAAGGCAGGTGGATCATTTGAGATGAGGAGTTCAAGACCAGCCTGTCCAACATGGTAAAACCCTGTCTCTACTAAAAATACAAAAATTAGCCGGGTGGTAGTGGCACGTGCTTGTAATCCCAGCTACTTGGGAGGCTGAGGCAGGAGTATCGCTTGAGCCTGGGAGGTGGAGGTTGCAGTGAGCCAAGATTGCGCCACTGCACTGCAGCCTGAGTGACAGTGTGAGACCCTGTCTCAAAAAATAAAAATAAATAAAAGCTAACTAATTGTGGTTATCACTGCTACTCTTATTATGATCGTCATCACAGAATCATGGCAACTGTTTCCAAATTTAAGGAAGATATTGAACTGGATTGTAACATATATGCTGGTACCATAGTGGGTATCAAAAGGAGTTCCCTTTACTAGCAGTAATCCACTTTTTCACTTCAAAAAACTATATTAATATTTGACATCTAGGCCGGGCGCAGTAGCTCACACCTGTAATCCCAGCACTTTGGGAGGCCTAGGAGTTCAAGACCAGCCTGGCCAACATGGTGAAACTTTGTATCTACTAAAAATACAAAAATTAACTGAACATGGTGGCGGGCACCTGCTACTTGAGAGGCTGAGGCATGAGAATTGCTTAAACCTGGGAGGTGGAGCTTGCAGTGAGCCAAGATCACACCACTGCACTCCAACCTGGGTGAAAGAGCAAGACTTGTCTCAAAATAAATAAATAAATAAATAAATAAATAAATAAAATATCCAAAAAAATGAGTCAAGTCTTTTTTCCTGTTAAGCTGGATTAGTAGGGGTCTCTTGAGTAGAGTCACCCGTTCCCATGTTTTCCTTTCCTTTTTCTTTGTCTTTAACAATAGGTTTGTGAAAATAACACCATAGTTCATATCAATGATCAAATATGACCAAAGTTCCTTCAACTGGAGAATGCTTACAACTCTCTGGGTCTCTCACATAGTATTTAACGCAATGGAATTTCAGAATTGAGAATTTATAAAAGACATATCGTTAAGGTTTAAATATTTTCTCCAGACTCTTTGAGGTCTTATGTTGTTATACCTAAGGGTATCCACGACAAAGTAAAATTAAATGATTCTGTAACTTGATGATTTCACTCTGGTTCATGGAAATACCCAAGGAATAAAAGAAAATGAAATTAACGTGTGAATATTCAGCAACTGTGAGTTTCAATTTTAAAACATACTTAGGCTTCCCTTCACTCACTTGCTCTTCTTTAGTAATCTGTTTCCTCCTCTGTCACTTTTAAGAAGTGTGATTTTTTTCTCTTCTGACTCATTTATGTTTCTTGATGTTGATTTGAACGGCTACCATGACAGAAAAAAAAAAAATCTGTTATTTTTAAAATAAAGTTCAGGGTTCTGACAGGCAGGGGGACCACTCCAAGCTTGCTTCTGGCTGCGTCCGCTGGGGTGATGTTTCCAGCAGGGCAGGAGCTATACGCCCCGGGCCGGCCTTCGGAATCCCAGAAAGAAGTGAGAAGCGTGGTGGGCAGAGCACATACAAAATTAAAACTTTCTGAGACATGTGATTCCTGTTTCCCTTCTTCATCACATACTTGGGTTTTTTATTAGCACCAATGGATTCCATGGGTTTCTATCCGAGCCACAGTGACAAATTATTCTCCTGGTGACTGAATTAGAAGTTGACAGTAAGTTGGAAGAATGCCTTTGGATCTGACATGACGAACAGATTAATCCTTCATGTATTTCCATTTCCATTCCTCCCTCCCCCCGGGAAAGTTTCCGCATTCTTTCAAGAAGTGCCTCCTAAAAGAGCCTAGTAGGTAATCCTTTGTCACAGAGCAAAGGCCTGAGCGTTAATCAGTCACAGTTTCCCCAAGAGGAAATAGGAACACAGATTTCCTATATAAACTCATGTCTCGTCACCGTGTTCACAGCAGACCCAGTTC